CATTTCCTCCGTTTTATTAACCAATCACATCCTTAATGTTTTGTCTTTAGGAAAGAGAAGTGCGCGTGAGGGTAGGAGAGGAAAGGTGGCCAAATATTCCCTCTCATATAGCAATGAAATTCGTTTTGACATTTACTTAATTAGGCCCAATATCATTGCTAGTGAACAAATACTCTTTTTATTAAGCATATATAGTGGTGAATCTGGTGATACTATTTATCAATCATTTTCCAACTAACTTATCATGATCAACTATAGTTACGTTATATATTCTTTTTCAAAAACATAAACAAAAAATTATAGTTTTTTTTTTTCTGTCAAACAAGTTTGCTTCATTAATTTAAAAGATCAAAGTACAATYGGAGGGAATTAAACATCCTCCAGAATTACTATAAGATAATTGAAAAGCAATAAACCATAAAGCAGATAGATCATCGCAAAGGATAGACAGCAAATCCAAAGTAGGCCTCGGATGCGTCAGGAGAGTCTTCGCGGCAAAGCCGGAGATTCTCAGATTAGTCACTTTACCATGTACTTTACCATATGACTTTGAATTTTCCGGCATAAAACACGGGGGTTCAACCACTCTCCATGAGAGGAAAGAAAATACGACCATGCTCAACGAGTTGGAAGAAGGTGGAATTGGACTCTTCCACCAAGAGTAACTTACAAGAGTTGAGAATCCAGAAAACATTAACCCTCTCATACGTGGATATGTGAATCTCGACGATTGATGGAATGAATCACAGTGAAGGTGAATTGGTCTCTCCATGCCCGATTTGGAGGACAAGGATTTTAACGAGCTCTGTAACAACTTGCCTAATTCGACAAAAAATGCGGCATTGTACACATTGATATAATGCGTTTTTGGCGCATTCTAACCTTTGTTTTGTAGGATTTTATCGAGTCTATCGTTCTCTTTCGAGTCATTCTAGGTATAAAAGTTGTTGGAAACAAAGATTTGAGCTTGCGGACTGGATTTGGCGGAAAAGGAGAAAAATGTGGATCTTTTGAAGTTTCTGCCCAGAAAGGAGCACCTGACCTAGGAAAGGGAGCACCTGCTCTCCAGAAGATCAACTTAAGGAAATATTCGCTAAACCTAATTTTGCAACCCTATTTTTGGGCCAGCCGTAATGGGCCTTTAAATAGGTTTTCCCTAGATCTTTTCAAGCAACGAGAAATCACGCAGCAGAGGAGAACACAGCAACAACGCA